CTGGAGAAGAAAGAAAGTTCATCGTTTGCTTGTCTTCCCCCCCCCAATGCAAATATTTATGGAATGAAGTATACGTTTAGCCTTTGTTTCCCAAATTATGTTCCACAGAGCTTAAAATCTTTTTTTCTGCCAAAACAACAAAAAAATCATCCTTTGTTTACTTTGTTTCTCAAACATTTTAAGCCTGAAACCCCTTTAGAGAGCCCGGGCTGGCAATCTCTGCCTTACCAACTAACCTGGAATACTGCCAGATGGCGATAAGGCCCAGGATGGGAAAAACCTGGAGCCAGCCTGGGGAAGAACAGAACTGAAGCCTTTGCAAAGAACATCACTTCCCTGCCATCTCAACGGGGGCTGGAGGGTAGGGAGAATGATGAGAAGACAGAACACCTGCCCCTAAATAGCTGACGGCCTACAGAAGAAATCGCACACCGGTATTTTTCATCGTGTCTTCATAATCCTTAGCATGACCTCGGTAGGCAGAAGCACAGCAAACATCAAGGACTTCTGAAAGGGTTCTGTCTGAACCTGACCTCAAAGGGTGAACAGAAACAGGAGAACAGAGAAAAACATTAAACAAACTGGGCTGCAAAGGTAAAGACACCAACAGATGTAGATGAAATTAGCAAGGATGCCCCAGGAGGGAGCGCTGGCCCTAAGATCCTAAGAGCCCTGGCCCTGCCCCTCATCAGCTGCAGCACTCACTGAACAACACAGTAGAGTTGGCCCTCAAGGTATGGGTGTAGGAGAGCCAACCCTGAGGGGTGAAAGCAGAACTGAGCCCACCTCTTGCTCAGGGCTGCCAGAGGTGAACTAGCCAGGGCAATGCTGGAGAGCCCATCCTGGTGGTGAGGACCTGGGAGTGCTGGCGGGCTGACCAATCCTGCAACTCCAGGCCCAGAACCAGGAATAAGTGTTGATGCACCTCAACATTCACGCCATCTGTGATCTGCTGGAGCATAAGCGGGGAGGGGCAATCCTGTGGACCAGAGGCCAGGATCCCCATGACACAGGGCAGCAATAGAATGTCCAGGAAGAGTCCCAGTGAGAGTCCAGTGTTAATAGTATAGCATAGATCAGAGGCCTTGACCCAAACCAATGATTCTTTGCAATGAACACCTGCATGTAAAGATGTATGGATAAAGGGATTTACTGTGACTCACGGTGTCACACCGAAGCTTTAATGACAAGATTTTCCCTTTCTTCCTTCTTTTTTCAATCCTAAATTTTATCTTGTTTTATTTTTGGGCTTGAGGTTGCAGGAGCAGAGGGCAGATGAGAGGGGACAGGATATAAGTGGGATCAGGATGCATTATTGAAAAACAAAGAATAAATTTTAAAGAGAGGAAGAAAAAGAAAAGGCACTTCACTTCACTTACTCATACACAGAGATCATTTCCAAAAGGAAACACAACACAGGAAAGGGACAAACAAGTTACTTGCAGGGGCCAGAACCTAATAAAAGGAGAAGGAAAAGACTAGTTACACAGCATTGCTTTACATTTAGTTTTTATGTACTCCTGATCCATAAATAGTTCAAATTAAATCATCACATCTAATGAAAATTAAAATTAAGATAGCCAAACATGATGTTCTAGAAATAACAAGCAATGAAGTCCAAGAGGCAGACAGGAGTCCCTGTCTACGAAGAGATTACTGAAACGCAGTGTTTCTAAAGTACCCTCTGGGAAGCACTTGAAAACACAGGATACCAGTTTAAAAAAGATGTAGATCTCTGGGATTCATCCATAGTAACCTGAGGCATACTGTTCAGAGAAGCCAAGTGTAGGAATCCTCTACACTGCATCAGACCGTGAGGGATGGCTCAGGAATCTGTACTTTGCTAGGTTCCCTGGGTGATGGATGAAGGGAGCCTCTGGGTACTGACAAGCAGAGGAGCCAAGTGGCCAGATGTTCACCCTTAGATAGATGGCTCTGGTGCCTGTGGCTAGAAGATCTGGCAGTACAAGGTTCAGTTAGGAGGCCCTGACAGTGCCCCAGCACGTTCTTTAATGTGCTAACTGCTTACACATCTGACTGCATATACATGGAAAAGATAAATCTGCCCAGGACTTACCACAACCTATAGCGCCCATTTTTTTCCCAAACAAAAGGAAACAAAAGCAAGGCATTACATCTCCACCTAAGAAGACAATAAATAGAAATCATTTAATCCAACAGATGTGTCATTAAGTGAACTTATTTTATCTGATTGTATCTAAAAACAGAAGCAATTAGAGATGGTTTCTCTGAGGTTACCACAGAATGGGAGAAAGTAAAGCAAAAACTGCTCATTTCTTATTTGATTTGTACAATTAAGTATTTTAAATAAACCTTCTCTCTGTCTGACAAAGTGTGTTTTTGGCAAGAATATCCTTGCCAATCAGTTTTGTTTCATCTAATGTGTGACTGCCAAGGTGTCTGGTTAATAAAAGCTTCGCCTCTGCCACCAACTTGTGTCACAAACAGACCCCAACAGTGGTTTGTGCCTTTGCAAGATCATGGGACTTGGAAGCAAAACCCTTAAATAAAAGTCTTCCATTCCCAAGTCATTAGTCAACCAATGGGAAGAAAGGCAAGGCTGAAATAATACACTACCAGGAAGATCAATTCAAAGCCAAACCTTTGCCCCAAGCTGAAGGATAGAATCCTATTCTTGCACAGGCTTCATCAATTAAAAAGATACCTCATGTAACTCTTGTTCTTTCTACAAAGTCAGAAAACCAGAGGTTTTGGGATAGAAAACTACCTGGACACTTTGGCCAACATCAACTATGTAATTTTAACAAGTACCCTAAATAGACAGACAGACAGACAGACAGACAGACAGACAGACACACACACACACACACACACACACACACACACACACACACACACACGGGGGGGGGGGACAGAGAGAGATACCAACAACAACCAATCCAACCAAAGAGAATGTTTACTTACAAAATCTTGTTACCATGATGTTCCGACACAGTAGCCATAGTACCAGTGTCATGAAACAAGCAACTGGTCATTTTCTTTTATAACCAACTCATGCACCTTAGTTATAGCAAACAATGTAAAAATCTTTCCATTCTTACCTTCTACCAAATACCATGGGAGAAGAACTTCACACAGCCTGCTATCCCTTACTTGTTCTTATTCAGGTTACACCTAATGCACTCTCACTGAAAACACTGACTTAACATCAATGCAAAACCAACTCCTATCAGTAAGAAAAAAATCCAATAAAACTGCAGCAACAAAACCTACTCTGCCTCTATGGCTAGGTCATCCCAAAACTCCGCCGTACAGCCCACAGTCGTACTTCAATGCTGTCTTATTACAATAGCATCACCAATGACACACAAATACTACTCAAAGATGGAGCTTAAGTTTTCAAAGACACTGACTACTCCTACATTTTAAGTTTTTATTAGTAGTGATCTAGTTCAGAGATACAAGAGTTAATCTCAATTCAGATTTCTACCTGTTTTCCAGAGTCCTTGAAATAATTTCATAAAACCAGTTCCAGAAAGGGTCTTGGTAGCTACTTAGCTCAACCGATCAGGAACTAGGTGAATGAACTTTTGAAAGCTAACAATACAGTACAAACAAATGTTTTATTTCACTGAGGACATCGAGAGAAGTTAAAAAATGCAAAGTCGGCTACACAGAACCAGAGAGCAAGTGCCTTGAGCTTCACCCTCTGTAGTAGACTTGAGAGTGTACCACTATAAGTCCAGAGAGTCTTACATAAAATCGTGTGACGCTAATAAGCATACGTGGTATTTCACAATTTCTAAAAGGTGAACCTTAGAAGGCTGGGAGTATAACCAAAAGGACACACCTCCTTTTCCAAAATAGAAACAGCATACTTCCATGTGGCCGACTATCCCCCACCTCGATGCATTCATTTCAGTCAATTAAACAAACTGCTGATATTCTGTGACACTGCAAATGTTTTCTATAAATACCTTCAAGCACTTGGGGGAAAGAGAAAATAAATTTGCACATTGACTTCTACCAAGTGGCCCTTCAGTTTCCCAAACAAGACAGACAAGATGTTATAGCTAAGCAAGGATTTACAATGTGTTTCTCCTGTCTCCCAAAAAGTGATATTACAAATCATCACCGGATTTTAAGAACAGGCAGCCTACCTATTCTTGGCACATAATTGAATAGTGGTTATATACAATTAATTCTAAAGCCTTCGTGTGCCTGGAATCAACAACTACAGGCATCCAATGGGCTCTTTTTTACCTAGAATCTAGATAAATTATTAACAATTTCCCTAAAGTTACCGTGTAGCGCAAAACTCAAAAATTTCAAAAATGGGGAAGCTCTGCGTTCAATCCCTCCCACACACTTACACGCACGTGGTTCTGTACACCTGGCTATTAGTAAATATACCAAATACAGAGTATCGCGAAGGCACGCTTACTTCAGAGTCACAGGCTCTTCCTTTCACCCATTATTCTGTTTACTTGTCCCTTATCTGACTTTCCTACACAAAAACACATCTCAGGTCAACTTTCCTGCCTCGCTGACCCGGGAGCTTTTCAAGCGGGCCAGAGACCCTGGACCAGCGACCACATTCCAGCAGGGCTTTCCCAGGCCAGGCCTCGGTCCCCGAGAGTCAAGGGGGTGTGTCCGTGGCACCTCGGCCCTCTCTCGGCTGCCGCGCACCGGAATTTTTTTCCTAGGAGCGGCCTGGGGAGAGGTCCCCAAGGCGAACAACCCTCCGGACACCGATTCACCTTCTCGGCGATCGGAGTCTGTGCCCCCGAGGCCGGGGCGAGGACACGAGGGCACACGTGGCTTCCAAGTCCCGGTCCCAGGGGCCCCTCCGAGGAGGGCTCGGGACGCCACTCTCCCACGCCCGAGGGGAGGCCCACAGGCAATCGGAGTGAGGTCGTCGGGCTTTGCGGGTGCCCTAGGTCTCGCGGGGCTCACCCGCACCCCTGCCCTTCATCTCCCACCCCACCCCCATACCGGCCGTGGCCGCCAGGACCCACCAGCTGCTTCAGGTCCTCCTCCGAGAGCTCCGCATAGCGGTACCGCTGCTGCTCGAACTCGTAGCGAGTGGTTTTCGCCACCACCACCACCCGCGAGGGGCGGAAGCCTCCGTCGGCGCGGCTACCACGGCTCGCCAGCTCGCGCGGCTGCCCGTGCCCCAGGTGCCGCCGTCCGTCCGCGCCCGAGCCCCGCAGAGCCGCCCGGCCTCCCGCCACGCGCCGGCAGCTGCCCAGCAAGAAGCCCCGGTAGCAAGTCATGGTCCGCGGGGCTGCCGCCGCAGGCTCGCACTCCCCGACGCCAGCACAGCGCCGGGCGCGCAGAGGTTAAGTGCGCGGACGTGCGTGGAACGCGCCACTAGGGGGGACGTGCCCAGACGTTGGCGCGGGCCTGGAGCCCCCGAGACGACGGGGGACAAGGGGGGGCGAGGGGGCGGGGCTCGGGGCTGGCCTACGGGTGGTGGGTTTTATTTGTTTGTTTATCCGTTTCCTTCTTGCGCCTGCGCACTGGCCTCTCGGCCCGGCCCCACCTCCCTCTCCACCTTCTAGTCCGCTCAACGCCCGCCCCCAGGCTGGTTCCGACAGCCTATCAGAGTTCGGGGAGGCTTGGGAGCGCGAAGGGGTGCAGGGATTGGTTGTGGCAGGGAAAGGGCAGGAATTCTATTCGGTGTTTGAGCTGCCTGAAGAAATCCAGCTGGAACCGGTCTGAGGCGGCTCAGAGGGTGCAGGCGGAGTTTTGAGCGCCTGGCGGGAAAGCGAGATCCCTGGGCATCTTCACCTCGGTGCTTTTTCAGGATTGCCTAGCTTTCTGGTCCCGAGCTTGTCTTGGGTGAACTTTAACCAGTGTCTGCTGGCTAGCGGCGGTAAGAGCTGAGGACACTGACCTTGCACCGGACAGTGTAGTTTGCGGGGCCTAAAGCCAAATGACGATATCGAGCCCTTTATTAGAGAGGAATTACAGATGGCGAGAAGGACCATAGAGCATTAACACGAGCTCAGAGATCTAAGGCCCTCGTCCTTCTGACCGCCAAAGACCACCAGCCTAGAGAGTCAGTGCTGTCAGTGAGAAACGTCGAGGATAAAGAGGGAAGTCCTTGTCTTGCCTAGTGGTGCCTGCTCCTGTAGACTGGAAGAAGATAAGGTTGGAACACTGGGTAGGGCCAGACCGAAGAGTTAACCGTTCGCACTTTGCCCTTTATCCTGTTGGCGGCCCACAAAGAAGCAAGTTCAAAGCACTGTTTGATGATTATTGATCTGGCTTTGGAATGTTGAGTAGTCTCAGAAGCCAGGGCCTGGAGACTGTCGGAGTCTGTGGGGACAGTTACACAAGCATAGAGATCTAGGCTGATGTAAAAATACTGTGATTAGAAGGGAAGGTTATTCTGAAGGAAAAGTCATAAGACTGCACATCCTAGGATGTGGCACCTGCCTCTGAAGTCCTTGGCCGGAAACTTGTCAACGGGATATCCCTGTCAAACCTAACTCTGGATCCTTTGGTCTGCCTCTCCCAAAGCATCGCTTCAGTAAGCCATCTTCTTGGTCGGATCTGGAACTCTCTCTCCCTGAGGGATTTTCCACTGAAGTTCTCAAGCATTCCCATGTCTATGACATTTAAAACTTTAAAGAGTGAAAGGACCTTCCAAACCCCCGTGGTTTACTTGTTCCCTCTTTCCCCTTGCATAGAGATTCTAATCAGTCATGGGTGCATTCATGCTGCCAACCTGGTTTTGGTGGGGGCGGGGCTTAGTTGGCTTACAATATTCCCAACCTTTTATCATCTCTCTGTGCCTTCTTCACTATTCTTATTTCCAAAGTTACCAAACGACCAGATTGAAACTCAGAAGATACCATTTAGTCCTTAAATCGCTTGGTTATGTGAAGCACTGAATGGGCTCAGTTCGTTCTGAAATACTTGGCTGTTGGTTCTTAGCACACCAGCCCCTACTGGCGCTTCTTCCACCTCTGAGTTCCCCCTCTCCGTTTCTCCCTAGACCCTTCTCTGCGGGGTAGCTACTACCATTGACTCTTGTAGCCATCTTCCTCTCTCTCCCCCACTCCGTTCCCCTGGGCGAGTGCACCTGCTGCTGTGTAAGGAAGAGTGTGGGCCTTCGAAGACTGGTTCAAGTCCCAGCTTTGATGTGTATTTTGCTTTGTGAACCTTGGACTGGTTGTTTAACCTTTCTGAGGCTATTTCTTCATCTATGAAACAGTAGCTACCTTGTAGAGTTTGCATGAATGAGTAAATGCCTAACCCTGTGTCCACTGTAAATTAGACCCTTCAAATATTAGCCCGCTTTGCCTTACATGACTTCAGCTGTTATCAGCATCTTTAGCCCATAGCATTCTCCTGAACTTCAAATCCTTATTTGTAGCTTACTATAGGACGTCTCTTCAGTTCAAATATACAACATCTATCAGTGGACACTAAGTTATATTTGAATAGAACACCCTACCAGGTGCTGGAAATCAAATGATAAGGAGTATTTGTTCTTTAGAAAGATTATACAATGGTAGAATTCTACAGAGTATTTCTAAGAATTCAAAGGAGCAGGTTTTAATTCAGCATAAGATATCCTGGAAATATCTTGAACTAGCACACAGTAAAACATTAGTGTTATCAAGAATTAGAAGGGAATTCTGCAAAAGAAATAGCATGAACAAATATATAAAGACCCAATGAAGCAGCAATTCTGAATTCCTAGTGATCTGTGAGCAGTAGACTACTCTGGGAGGTAATACAACAGATTCAGACAGAGCAAAGTATTCTATCCAGGCTAAGCAATGTGGCTTTTGTACTATACATATTAGAAAGAGACAAAAGAACAAAATGTCATAGTTAGCTTTGCAAAATCATTAAAATTTTCTCAAAAAAAATCCACATGCAGTAAATAAACCCCCGAAGAGATGTTCAGACATATTAAAAATCAGAAAGATACAAATTAAGGTCAAAGTGAATTTTTTCCCAATAGATAGGTAAAAATTAAGTCCTAGAAACATTCTAGTTAGAAGACTGTCAAACCATCAAGGCCTCATTAGGCTAAATCATTCATCAGTCATTTTGATAATTTTACCACTACTACAGTTTACTGTCTTAGAATAGAAGTTCTAATATGTTCACATGTTTCACTTTGATAACCACAAGTCTGACAGAACAGAAACAAAGCAGTATAGTAGAGTATGTATGGGAGGTATGTACTAACACAAAGCTCCTGGTATTCATTGGACAGGGTATCAGTTTCACATATTCTCAGAAAAAAAGAAAATGGTAAAGTTACTGAATTTCAAACTGGTTTAGTATGGCAAAGCCAATTTAGCTTTCTTTTTTGTGGGGTGGGGAGTGGGGAGCTTGGTTTTGGTTTTTCGAGACAGGGTTTCTCTGTATAACAGCCCTGGCTGTTCTGGGACTTGCTTTGTAGACCAGGTTGGCCTGGAGCTCACAGAGATCCACCTACCTCTGCCTCCTGATTGCTGGAATTAAAGACAAATGCTGTCACACCCAGCTGTGGGTTTCTAATGAATGATCCAAGCAACTGCATGGTAGCCAAGTCTTAAGCAAATACTGTTGTCCCTATCATTTTATGAAATCATTGTCTGCCACTGATATCTTCAGTTTGGAGATCTCCAGATGTCTTAAGATATGCTCTTTCCAATCTACAACATGTGACTCTTTAAAAGCTTAATACCCCGCTTTATAAGATACATATATTCTAGTACTTGGATAGATAATTTTTTGCTGGTGATGAAGGCCCCCTTGGTTTGGTAATGGTGGATGTGTGTGGTGTTTTGAATGAGTGATGTACCCAATAGGTTCAAGTATTTGAACACTTAGTGTCTGATTGGTGGCACTAGGACAGGTTTGAGAACCTTCAGGAAGTTGGTCACCGGGCTGGGCCTTGAGAGTTGATAGCCTGATCCCACTTCCGGTTCACTCAGCTTTCTTTCTGCACATGGTTGGAGAAGTATCTCTCAGCTCACTGCTCGGGCTCCCTTCTGCTCCATTATGGATTCTCCCTCTGGAACTGTAAACCCAAATAAACTCTCCCTTGGTTTTGATACTTATCACAGCAACGAATAATAACTAATAAAGGATGTAAAATAATATTTTGTAGCAAAACATTTTAATGATTCATTATTAAGCTAAACAATTGAAATAAATACTATTTATTGAAAGAGAATGTTTAGATGATCTTAAAATATGTAATTCAGTGTAAAATTCGATACATATGTAATATATTTGGAGACTAGTTAATCATATTTTAATAAAAATAGCTCGTGTGGAAATCCAGAATGTAGGATTAGCAGTCACCTGTCTGAATAACTTAAGATAGGTATTATTTTATAATTGATTACTTTTCATTGAAAGGAGATAAAGGGTGTAGGAAAGCTCCTCCCCCCAAAAAAGGCAGAGGGGGCCTAGATGATGTTTCTTTTCATCAAGATGGAGGAATCTTGAGAGAGACACCATGTTTCTGTTCTTTGTCACATAATCCAGAAGTCTTCACTGTCTCACTGTCTCTGCCTTGCTGATATTCTAACCTGCTTGGAGGTCTCCTGCCATTTCTGCATAGGCCACAAGTAAGTCTGTTTCTCCTTTGCTGTCTGTACAGAAGACCAAATACAGTCAGACTCAATTCAACACAGTAAAATAGTTGGAACACAGAAAAAAATATTGCTTCTTTTCCATTCCAGTGTGAGAACAAGGAGAAACATACCAAGAGATAAAGGAGACCCCTGTCCTCTGCTTAATTATCCTATAATTACAATGTTCCCACAAAGCTAAAGTCTTATAGGTGAACAGAGCTTTCAAATCTTCTTCAGATGCCTTCCTGATTGTATTATGTTCCTAGGATGAATTGTTCACTGAGTGTGTTCTGCACCAGTTACTTTTATGTATGAGGGTAGAGGAGAAAGAAATAATCTTAATTGTCTGTGTCTACTCCTTCACCTGATGCTGTTATCTTTTTCTTCTGAACATATTAACCAAATACTACTCTCAAAGACCTTCCTCAACTGCTGTATGCTAACTGTGAGATTTGAACTGAGGTTTGGTTAATTAATATGCACATGCAGGTACTCGTGTTATAAAGGCAATCAAGCAATGTTAACTTTTAAAATATATATATATTCAGATGTATACTTCCAAAGACCCTCATTACATGTATGTCAGAGTTCAGAACATATCCAGAAACCATTTAGGATCCTGAATCTTTATCCCGGAATGAGACTGTTTAGGGCTACTAAGAAAATAAAATATGGCCCAAATTTTTGAGACCGATTTTCAATCAAAGTATCTCTGAAATATCAAAAGGGCATAAAACATCTGCTAAAAATTATTGAAATTGTTATAGCATAATGATGGAATTTGAGATAGTCATTTGGCTATATATGATATGTTTGTTATAATAGGGCTTCTACAAAGCCATACCTTTAGACTATTAATGACAACCACATAAAGAACATTGATGTTTGTATTTTGTATTTTTTGACATGTGACTCAAATACATAAGATGCAATGGATACAAGTCCATGAATAGACACTTTTGTAAAAGAATTTCTACTTGAATATCTGTACTAGGAAACTCAGAGTGTAAAGAAAAATACACACTTCTTAGAAGATAAACATGATATAATGAATTGCTTTGCAGTTATATTTTTAAATATATGTCTGTAAATTCAGTAAAATATTTTTCTATAGCCAGACAATGTATGACTAAAATACTTTAGTTAGATATTTATCAAGGCTAACAATTTGTGCCTTTAATTATATCCATCAACATGATGAATAGTCCAAATTAGTTATCAAATCCTATTCTAGATTAATCCACAAAATGATGAATTTTTGTCTTCTGAAGTTCATTTCTTAAATGTTGTCCACAGTAATCAAACTGTAAAACATAAACCCTTTAATTGCAAGAAATTGTGTTTCTTTAATTTAAAAAGAAAACTCTTCAAGGTATGTGTAGCATCTTCTCAGTTAGGAAGGTCTGGCATTTCAGTAGAGTGAGTGACCAGTTTCTGTAGATGTTATGTTTACAGGCGAGAGTGCTATGAACACACAACTGACTGTCTGTGGTTCCACCTTGAAGGATCTGTGATAAATGTAAAATATTTTATTACATGATATCATATTTAGACTTAATATCAAATGCAGAAAAATAAGTAGCTTAGTGATAAAGAGATAAAAGATAAGATATATGCTTTTATATATGTTTAGATAATGTCACTCACATTGCTAATAATTTTCACTCCCTCTCTATGTCAAGTGTGGTTGATTGTAGCACATGTGTACTCTTCTTTTGCAGCTTTTGGGTTTATCATCATCGGGTGTGTGTGTGTGTGTGTGTGTGTGTGTGTGTGTGTGTGTGGTGGGGGAGTACACATGTGCTAAGGCATTTGTGGAGGCCAGAAGATATATAACTTTGTGATATGGGTTCTCTCTTTCCACCTTTATACGGGTTCTGGGACTCCAGCTCAGGTTGTCAGGGTAGCTTGACGCACACTTTCCCTGCTGAACCATCTCACCAACAATGTCACTAATAATTTTAAAGATGGCATTTTCTGACAAATAAGACATTATTTAATTCATGTGCAACAAAGTCCAAACAGGCATTTTTTATAGCTTCCATAACATTTTAACATTGTCTGCAATACCTCCCAAAGAAGGTGCCATGTGAGCGGAAAACAAGAGTAGAAGGAGGGTCCTGTGACTGACAGTTGCCTTATATGATTCCCATTGATTTAGCAGTAAGATGGTTGCATATCAATCCTTTCCTTAAGTTTCCTGACTGTGTCTCATTGATTAAATTTTGTCATTTCATTCTTATTTCAATTGACATTTTCTAATAGAACCCATTTTATTGTGGACAATATAAACAGTAATATGAAAGATAATTTACTTATTCATTTCATTTAATCTGGAGAATCATAAAGCTTTTGTTCAATAGATCTGTTTAAAGTAGAAAATCATACTCATGTGGTTTCCTGGCTCACTGAATCAAGCAGCCTAATCTGCACACATGGTAGAATTTTCCTTTTAATTGTAATTTTAATATTCAGCCAAGTGTTTTGTCCTGTTTTGTACATTCTTTGGTCATTTTTTAAAAATTATGCATGACTAAAGTAGCCTTAAGACTGTAAAATAATTGAATGTGGGAAATGCTCATCACATTAACCACTTTATATTGTCAAGTCCTTATAGACAGAATTGGGGTAAGTGAACCTGTCACTGAAAATGACCAGAGGACTCTGTTAAAATAGCTACAGCCATAGAACACAGGTGTGGTTACTAAATCTTTGGCACTGTCCCCCACCGATAATGATATCAGGGTATTGCTTTTAATTCCACATATCAGGACATATAAAATTACTTTACTGCTGATTCTGTTTCAGCCTTAGTTCATTCATGACTCTTGATCCAATTTTTAAAAGTAGTAAATTTTGTCCTAGTCCGAGGAAGATATCTTTCAGATAATACTTATACCATTTAGTTGTTTCTCTAAGCAATAAAATTCCAAATGGGGAATAAATACTATTTTCAGAACTTAAAACTAGATTCACCTGGATCTCTACTGCATACGTTTCTATTTCCTCTGGTTATAGCTAATAATAGACTAGAACATGAGAAAATGAGCATTAGTAGTGGTTACTTTCAAGGCAGCAATGTAATACTTTAAGTTGTGAATGAAGTCGTTCATGAAATTTATAGATAAATGACCTACAGGTGTCACAGGGAGGCCAACTTGAAGGCCCCTCATAAAAGACAGAGATTTTTCCAACCTACTCCTGGATACAAACAGCCAGACCCCAATCTCCGCTCTTAAAGCAACCATTTTTATAGCTGAAAAGCCTATTCAGTATACTGCACTATGCTCATGATGTTGCTTTTAGACTCTGACCTAGCAACAATTATTTACCTGATCCATTTTTAGTGACTTGTATGAGGTCATCCTCATCCTCATCACAGCTGAACTGCTGGAGGACTGTGTCTGACTGGCTTTCTGCTGGATCACCATTGGCCTGCTTCCTGGAGCTTCGAAGGGCAACAAGACGGTGATGTATTGCGGCATACAGATAGCCTATGTCTTTGGCACTAGCCTTTGCGGGAAAAAATAAGTTGTTTAGACTATAAGTAATGGAAAAATGTAGCCATGTTTACATCTTTTTTACTCTTTCACTGTTTATAAAGGAAGGAATTGTATTACAAAAATCTGGAGGTAAATAAATGCCCACAGCCCAACATATTAAAAAGTAAAGCTGATTCATTGTACACCAAATTGTATCCCAAAGTGAGTAATGAGATCTCAATGCATACGTTTTAAATGGAGCAAATGCAGTTTTGTAATCTAGGAATCATGTTTGAATGGAGCTCTTTAAGATGGTTGTCCCTCTGCTGCCTTCCGCTGTAGAGCTCTGTAGGCTTGGAGGAAAACAACTTCTGCTTCTTCCAACTCTTTACTGACCCGCCCTCCAGCCCACACAACTCTGTGGAGAAGCAAAACTCCTGAGGAGTGGTCCCATTTTCAGACATCATGCTTCTCAAAACTTCTCCAAGCTAAGTTTTCCTTGTCGTTAATATAAAAATGATGGCAGCAGTAGCTTAATACTACTGCTTAGTATTAATGGTGTAGCATTAGCTGCTGTGTTTTTTTTAACTCCATTTACATTAGCAAAAACAAGTAGTACAGATATACTCTTCCCTTTACAAAAGAGAAAACTGTGGCTGGGCAAAAGAAAAGGGCACATCTAAGTTACAGCACTAAAGAACTCATTTGCATTTAAAAATGAATGTTGTGTCACGATTTTAGCTGTTTAATCTTAGCAGTTTTATAAAAGTATATCCTGTTGCCTTCATTTTACATGTGGGCAAGTCAGTTTAGTAAAAGCTAAGTAATTTGGAAGTCATATAATTGTACAGCATTGCATATATATATGGATATGTACACATGTAGTTTTCTTGATTTTGTAATATTTATACATATATAATAAGATATTTTGTGGATGGAGCCCAAATCTAACCATAAAATTTATTTATGATTCATCTATATAGACCTTGCATACATAGCATAAGCATAGGAAATTTCTATAATATTTTAGCGTGCCTGCCTGTTGGCCAGAACCCATCATACAAGGTCAGGTGTGGAAATTTCCATGTTGAAGCTCAAAGAATGTTGAAGTTGGAAGTATTTTTTATTTCAAATTTTTAAATCAGGGTGTTTAACCTATTAGTGTAGAATAAGATGTTAATGGTATCCAAACAGATGATCTTTATTGTGTTCTGTTTGTCTCTTGTGAATGTGCCACAACTTAAAAGCCAGCATGGATCAAGTGCTGGTGACAGTGAACAGAGTCAGTCTGAGTTTCTGCCACAATGCTTTGGAGGATTATGTCCTTATGGTAGAGAGGAGTTATCATCTTACTCTTAATTTTTTGGTATTGCTGCTTACCGAACCTTCCCTAATACTTTAATACCCAAAAGGTCACTTACACCAGACTTTAAGTTAATAAAATTTAGGGGTTTTAATCACATGCCAGTTTTTCTTCATTATTTAGTGGAAGTCTATCCACTTATATTATTACCTACTCCATTATCATTTGGGTAATCATATTTTTCGAGTTTTCCAGGTTTCGGACTCTGCGCAAAACCCAGTTGCAGGGTGGGAGGTTGGGGGTGGCAGGAAGAAGGCTTTGTTCTTGGCAGCTCTCTTGTGTCTGTATCTTGTATTTGAGGTCAGTCATTCCCGCTGCAGGGAACAGCTCGGCTGTGTTTCCAGCCGTTACCCTGGAGATTTTCTCATGTTTAGAATTGGAATTGGCTGCTGGACTGGTTGTGACATGCTGGCCCTGTGCTTTTGCATCCCTCACTGGCTCCCTTGCTGGGATCACAAAGCCTCCTCTATCTGAGTAGCTGTATAAGCAGCAAGTTAGAATCCTAGGAGCCACTTTGACAAAATGCAGCCACTGGGAGCTCATAAACTGAATGACATAACTTCAGTAGTGAAGGAAATGCTAGGTGGTAACATCCAAATGTCTTAGAATGAGGACCGGCTGATTCATACTGGCTTTGGGGTCCATTTGAATATAGGCTGGGCCATATTAGACTTTTAATAACCATAATGGGTGGCTGATTTCTTTGCCAGTCATGCAGATTATTATAACAAAATGCAAAAATGAATTAGGAACTGCAAGAGGCTAACTATTGTATTAGTAGCGTAACCCCCTCATAGCTGAAATCTGTAACTTACCTGAATTAAAAACACTTTTATACCATCGTCTTCTAAATCGGTCGCAGTTATCTGCAAATGTTTGTGATTTGCTCTCTGAATCTTCATCTGAGTCCAGAGTCTGCTGTTGAGGATGAGCCTCAGACTACCTTGGTTACGCATGACTGTGATGAGAAGATGATCAGGTCAGATTAGAGTTCATAATGCCTTAACCTGAAAGAAAAAAATCTCAGAAGGAAAAGTTAACCCTATAGTTGTCTTTCAAGCTGTTTTCACTAGTGAGTGGTAATTTAGCTACATTATAACTTGGTTTTAAAATTGGGCCTTATCTTAGAGAAAGTTTATTTATTTACTTTAGTTTCAGTGTTAGAATTCTATTCTTTCTAGAATTTTTAAATGATTAGATTTAAAGGGCCTCTTTGAAGGTCTGGTAACATGTAGATCATCTAAGAAATGTTAAATGAAAAGAAAAAGAAATAAAATGTTTAAGTGTTCAAAATGTTGTCAGATAATTACAGTTCAACCATTAGAGCGAACACTAAAAATCTATTGACAATACTGAAAAAGGATACTCAACATGGGAAGACAATCATGGAATACTATGTAAAAAAATGTCAGATCAATATAGCACCATGACCCACAAAATGTACAGTCTATATGCATGTGTACCGAGAATGACGTCCATAGAATGCAATGTTAACAAACTGTAACTAGAAGATAGACCTGATGTTGTTTTATCTAGCCTTTGATTGATTTATTTTCTGCTTTCTATAGTGAGTCCATATTGCCCACATAACAACAACACCAATAAAGGTGTCTGGAAATTTTTTTGGCTTTAATTTTTTTTCTGGCAAAGAGTAGAATTAAATCACAGTAGAGAACAGCCAGTACTGCCTTGGTTGCATTATTTAGCAACCTGTTTGTCCATTACTAAGTTGAAAACCCTATTCTTGTTCTTTTGATCTGAATTCTATTCCTTTCCAATTTTTGAGCTGACCGTTTGAAACTCAACAGATCCTCATATGCCCAGATGTAGATTCTGTATGCAGTTTCCTTCAAAACTTGGCTTCTCAGAACTGTCTGGAAAGAGAATTCACTGCACCAGCCCTCTGCCCTTGCTGGTGTGTAGTGTGGGCCTCTGAACAAAGCCCAGTGTGACCTTTTGGATGCCAAACATCTGAAATCTTTCCCCAGCTTCTGACCATCCATTTGCTGCAGAGCACAATAGGTACACGTTTGTTTCCTCAGAAACTGAGCCTTCATCCCAGCTGCACACTGTGTTTAGGTGCCAAGGATGCATGATGTATCAGCTATTTCTTTCCCCCAGACTATAAATGTTGCAAGGCTGTTTGCTGCATACTCCTTCCAATACTAATGATATCACTACTGGAGTGTGCTTAGCTTTGACACAGGTGCTTTCTACACAGCATCTCATAGATTTTCACAGTTGCACAAAAACACTTGAGTCTCAGTGAGTTCTCCTAAACACTGAAAAGGTCACAGACTACAAATATTTATATTTTGAATTCGTATGGTCAAGCCATTTCTTTGGGGTTGCTAGTCAGTGAAGGAGGAAAAAATGGAAGCCATGCTGTCTGATAGGTGAGCTTCCTTGAAATTGAAAGCTCCTAGAGTACGTTAGAAATGTTGTTTTCCATCATCAGATTTATTGGTGTGTTTTATACTGCATCTACAGAAGCAGCGTGCATCTTCATGAGGCCTTTTACCCGTTTACTTTACACATTGTTCCTTACTTAGTCTTGACTGTAGTGTTCCACAGTCACCGCTTGCTATGTCATTCAGTCTCAAAAGTCCTCTGCCTCTTTCAGTCCAGGATTGGGTTATTTTGGTGAATACAAAGATCTTGCAGTTGATCTAAATGACAATTGTTTAGAATGTCAGATACATTACATTGTTTTCAGATTAAATCCCTTCTTGTGCCCTAATACTATTATATCTGGCTTATCTTGTACTAAATTAATCTTGGTTAATGGTTAATTAACCAGAATTTGAGATTTAGTTAACTTTTAAGAACATGCGATCTCTGTGCAGTTCAAACTGGAAAAATGTAGAAATAACAGCATGAGTGAAATGAAAGGTTCCCAAGCCTTGCTCTCCACCTTCCACTGCAGTGACAGGTGCCACTATTGTCCCTTACTTATCCTTCAGAGATGGTTGTAGGGATGCACACAACACATATATGTTCTCATCTTTTTTAAAACTAGAGGGTACCATGGATACTTGCTGCTTTCTTACTTAGTATGTCTCTATATGCCAAATTCTCCATTAAACTTGATATTATTTTGGCCAAATAATGTTATTTGAAAGAAGTGAATCGTAGATTTGTGTGCTAAAGTATTTCAAGCACAGCACATGGCCATGGAGAGCTGTGACATTATAACCCCAGGTTCCATGTGGTAATTTAATGGTTGTCAGTTATCAATTACTCCCATGCAAAAGAAGTCATCTGTACATTCAAATGAAAATGCACTGTGCAAGGAATTGACCCCTAGCAGTTACTTCAATTAGGCCAAAATTATACCATGAGATGCACTTATTTAGAATAAAAGTATCCTTAGGTCCTAGTGAAAATAAGGGGGAGTGGAGCGAGCATGGGAGAAGATGGAGAATTGTAAAGAGGATTGGTACCTTTAAACAAACAGTGAGGTTACAAATTGTACACTAACACCACTCAGCTCCAAATCAGATCATTGTTACAGTGTATACCTATGAAGTTCTTTATTTATGCAAATGTCCACACTTTAATAAGCAACAAGGATAACAAAAAAAGCTTTTCATCTTGAACTAAAATCAAGTCACTTTTCAGTATTAGAGTTGACCATAGTAATGACACTGGCTGTGAGAGCAGACATGAAAGGTGTAAAGTGGAAGTCTGAGTTATTGAAGACAGGATCCTAGCCCACCGTGTATACAAGCTCAGAACTCCAGAAGCTAAAGCAGGAGAATCCGAAACTTAGGTTCATTGCCTCTCTCTTCCTCAACAGCTAGAATGAGTGATTGTAAACCTGCACGTGTGCACGCGCCCACACACACACACACACACACACACACGAGAGAGAGAGAGAGAGAGAGAGAGAGAGAGAGAGAGAGAGAGAGAGAGAATATTTAAGAAGATAACACTATCTTAGTTTAACGATGAGGTTTTTTTTACAAGCCTCAAACAGTTTTTGTTCAAGTAACTTAGTCTTCATGAAGCTCTATTTCTAGGTACTTTTGATGATGTGTTTAATAAAGTTGACTTTAGTCTGTATAATACTAGGAAAAGTGATACATTGCATACAAACCTTTAACACATTATGTTCCATTTCTTCTCCTGTTACAACATCAATTTTCTCAAGCAAGCATTTTTGTGATGGTTTGGAAGAAAAAGCAGCAGCTGATTCAATTAGGGATATATTTTTAATAGAGTCTGTTCCAAAGAGAAAGCAGAAGGAAAAAAATGTAAGACCCTGTTTCTTCTGCCATTAAGGTTGTGTGTTAACATGTTAATACATCTTCTTAACTTATATTTTAAAGGTCAAACTGTTTGAGTCAGTTAAAACCACCTAATTTACTCTCCCATGGTATTAAGTCAACAATTTTAAAGTTTGTATTATAGTCTAATTAAGTTTTTCATCCTTTCCAAAACAATTTTAAGTACTGGATTGTAGGCTTTTACAGTTGTATGGATATTAGGTAAAGGTTATTAAAAATAGGAGAGCGAGCTGGAGAGATAACTCAGTGTTAAGAGCACTGGCTGCTAATCCAGAGGACCCAGTGTCTGTCCCCAGCACCTCGGTGATGGTCGTTGTAACTTCATTCCCAGAGGATCTGGCGTCCTCTTCTGATCTTTTTGAGCACCAGGCACACCTGTGGTGCCCCTACATGCATGCACGAAAAACACCCGTGCACATAAAAAGAAAACAGGAGACAGTGAGGTTAAATGATTCTTACTTGGAGCTGAAGCGGCATCAGGAAATTTCAGAACAGATCTGAATGTTTCTTCCTTGGCATAGGAATGGTTTTGAAGTGGAGGCTGGGTGAACTTTTGAGTGCCCTAAGTGGGGGAAAATGTGCATTGTTTAATCTTATACCTGGATATTTGCAGTAAGCCAAAAACCAAAAGATTTTCTGTTTTCAACACAGCACACAAGAAATAGCCCCTGGGTTTTGGTTTCTGGCTCCCTCCCCACTTGACAGAGAACTGGGCTATAGTTGGGAAGTTTTGGTTCTAATCCCCAAACCAGGACCCACTTATCTCAGCCCCTCCAGATGGGTCTGGTTTTAGGGAAACACAGAAAGCTCGAGTAGCAGGGAAGCGGGTGGCTGTCTCTCTGTGGCCCACCAGGCTGACCAAAGTGCCATTCACTTCATTTCAGTGTTTTCCAGAACATTGCAGTGCTCTTCCCAGGAAAGAAAACTCTGCTAGATTTCCCAGAGAACAGAAGGGGTCCTAATGTTGCCTCCGATATCAGTGTTAGCCAGCAGTCACTGTGTGTGTGTGTGTGTGTGTGTGTGTGTGTGTGTGTGTGTGTGTGTGTGTTTGAAAATGACCAAAACTCATAGTATAACAGTGTTGCTTTCAAGCAACTTTTAAAAATTAAAGTTGAAAACACTGATGAGAACAGTATATTAAAATATTACTAATTGAGCTTATCTAGCTGACGCATGTTTCTGGGAGTTCAGTGGGTACGTTGGGCTTAGCACAAGGCGAAGAACTGTTTGACAATTCACATTGGTAATAATGAAATTATTGTACAGTTTCCTTCCTCTACGGCAATGGTTCTTAACCTATGAGTTGTGACCTCTTGGAGATCAACTGACCCTGTCCCAGGGGAAGTCTTTAGACCATTTGAAAACACAGATATTTACATTACAATTCCTAGCAGTAACAACAAAATTACATTTATGAAGTAGCAACAAAATAATTTTATGGTTGGGGGTCACCAAAGCATGAGGAGAACTATATTAAAGGGTTGCAGCACTAGGAAGGTTGAGAACCACTGCATTATGGGTTTCACATCTATTATTTAAACAGCTGGGACATGCTTCCCAGAAGCCTTTTATAGTTAAAGAAGTTGTGGCTTTTAACCCAGAATTAAGAAGCACTCTCGAACTGACACTATTAATTTGCCTTGAAAAATGTGAAACGACAGTTTCTCTAAGATAATTTACCAAAATCTTACCAAAACTCTTTCTACCATGTTTTCTCCAAAAACGAAATCAGAACTGCAGCTTTTGAAAGAACATTTATCTTCCTTTGGTTGGCATCTGTGAAACAGAAATAAGTATTTGTTATTGTAAAGTTGTGGCTGAAGCCACTTTAAGCCTTAGCAGGTAAAATAAAGCAGTGGTTCAAGCATAATCATTCCTCTTTTTTCACATGAAATCAATGAGAAGTGAAGGAAAAACATGAGCTAAAGACTTCCAGGGACAACATTCAGAATATTGTTGCTTTCTGTTATGACATTGGAGTTGACCTGTATGAATGACCTCATTCCATTCGCTATGTGGGCTGCATGACCAGCTGGAGGGTTGCCCAGCCCTTATCTTACTGCCTTCCAGCAATCCCTAACCATTATTCTTTGTCCTAAGTGGCCAATGGTGCTTTTAGCCATTCAAGATCTTCAGGGTGTCTTATCAATTATACTTGAATTTACATTATTTTAATTCTTCTACTCCAAGAAAATTGATTTTTATATTAAAATTGTTTCACAAGATGAGAAAATCAAACATACAGCCATTTGTAGGCAGATATTCTAACGGTTCTCAGCACATCCTCATGACCTCACCGGGATGGAGCCTACTCGTGTGAACCAGTGTTTGTCCATATTCATTCCCAGTGTTCTCTCAGGGAAACATTCCTTCATCACCAGTAATACTAAGTAACATTAGCTTTTTACTTAACAGATGCATACTGCTCTCCTTTTATCTAAACAGTTAATGATAATTAATCATAGAGAGCACCAAAACTGATTAGAAATACGGGGAAAGGACATCAAAATAAAAAGAGGAAGGAAGGAAGATTAATAGCAAGATAACTTGTACCTGAAGTCATATCTTTTTGAAATATTCTGAGCCAAGTCCATGAGGCAATGAGGGTAACCTAATATTATTATGATGATAGTGAAGTAGCTGAGGTATTCTGAAGAGCTTTCTCAACTAACATTCTTATAAAACATGCTCTCAAATGAGAATCTTGTCAATTTATTCATACAGTGTCAAAAATTACTTCTTATGAATAGTTAAAGGGTCAAAGAAAACAAAAATGAAAAGGAACAATTTCGGTTTTCTTATTAGGTTGAACATCTCTAATTAGGAAATCTTAGGTGCAAAATTTTCCCAAATCACAAACATTTTGAGCACTGGCATAAGATCATGAGTAGAAAATTCCTGGCCTCATATGATGGCTCAAAGTCATTAAAAATATTGTATATAGATGCACTCTCACCCTGAACTCTTGGGGGAGGGTCTAGCCCTGCCCTGGATGAAATGACAGACTATGGACACCCCCATGGACGGCCTCACCCTCCCTGAGGAAATGAGGGGATATTGGCAGGGGGTTGGTGGGAGGGCACGCGAGGAGGGGAGGGAAACGGAGAGGGACCTGGGATTGACATGTGAAGCAACCTTGTTTCTAATTTAAATTTAAAAATAAAAAATATATAAATTGTATATAATTATATTCAGACTATATACTCAAGGTGTATGTAAATCTGTATGCATGCATTTTCTGTTTAGATTTTGGTCCTATCTAAGAGATATTAATTACATTATATGCATCCAAATATTATAAAAATCTAAAAAATTATCTGAAACACTTCTAGCCCCAAACATTTTGGAGAAGGAATGCATGAGCTGTATACTTTACCCTGATGTTGCCTCTGAGGTGTGTAGCTCAGCAGACAGCTGGACTGAACTTCTGGCATGTGGTAAATTTTCACTTAGCAAACTAGAGTTCGACTCAGATATCTGAAAAGGGAGCGGGGAGAGATCCGTCTGAAAGTTCATTAGACTTGCCCTGTCTAGAAATCCCAGACAGAAACCAGTGATGGTCGCACGTTATCCTGTGTGAAGATAGCATGTCCCCCAGCCCTTTCTGTGCCTCATCTCATGTGCTCCTCACAGCTCAGTGCACCTCTGTCCTTCTACTGCCCACAGTGCACAGAAAGAACTTGGAGAGCTCACCCAAGTCACACAGCCAAGTGGAAATGGCATTGAGTACAAGTCTTTATTCCAGAGACTTCGTATTTCATGGTAATACTCACAAACGTGTTGCCTTTTGATACTTTTACCTATCTTATCCATTTGGACTTAGTGACTACTTCTGGATAGTGGGGGACTTTTCAGGGCTGTACAGCCTCTGAGGGCACCCCATGAACTTTGCTACCACAGCCACCTGGTTTAAGAGGAGACTCAGCTCATCTCATCCTGACATTTCCTGTGGGTGACTGCGCCAACCGAAACTGGTTTTGAGCATGTACATAATGGGCCTATACTGATCCCATAAATGCGGGAGTGGGGGATTTCAGAACTGGAGGGGGTTCAGCGGTGGGACCAGAACTCATGTGGTTCAGTGTTTACTGTGTATTTTGGACACACCCTCCCTCCACACACACCCCCCCCCCCCCCCCGCCCCGAGGGATTTGCAGATGTGTTCTGGGATAGTTCATGTTTTCAAAGTCAGGCAGTTCTGTTTCCTCTTGAATTTTATACTAATCAATAAAAGTATGACTATTTCCCTCTTATAACAGAACTTAAAAGCTTCCAAATACCTACAAGAGATCATGTGCCTTGGTTATCTAAGGTCAAAGTATATGCTGAAGACCTTGTCACTCAAATAATTGATCTTTCAGTCTACATGATAGTTTCCTTTCTTTGTTGCCTAAAATAGTATTAGGTATATGTGCTTTGATTTATACACAATAAATGGACATTGTCTGCAGAATGTAGTTTTAGTTTTAGTTTTAAGTATGTGACGTGAAAGCAGAGGCAGCACTATTTGGGAGAAGAATGGGGACCAGCTGGAGAGGAGGAGGGATGAAGGGCAAAGTAAGATGCTATGTCTACATGAAATGCCATAATGAATCCCATTATCTTGTATGCTAAGTAACAGAAATTTGCCTTTTAGTAGCCAATGACAAAACCCAGGGCCTTGTGCTTAGTAGGCAAGTACTCTACCACTGAGCCAAATCCTCAACCTTGTAGAAGGAAAATTTAAAATATTTCTTTTACTTTTTGAGATTATGATTACGTTTTCTTTCCTCACTCCAAATCCTCCCCTATACACCTGTCTGATCTTTTTCAGATTCATAGCCTCTATTTTCACTAATTGTTGTTACATAATACATGTATCTATATCAATAGATATAGAGATAGATAGACAGACAGACAGATATAAATTCCCAATACAACCTGTGTAATCAGTATAATGTTGTTTGCGTGTATGTTTTCAGGGCTGGACATCCCGTAAAGTCTCACCAACATGACTGCCTAAACATGAGCTGAACAAAGACAACAGTAAACAGGCTAAAGTGGGCTAGGGTAGTATTAGTGGGGGCGGGGCAAGCCCATGAGGCCTCAATCCTATACAAAAAACAACAGGCAATTAAGGAATGCTAAGAGCTGAAGAAATAGTCTTCCTTAGGGAAAAACACACCAATTGGTTATCTAATACCAAAAGGAAACCTTTTAAAGACTATAAGAAACAGTGTTACCAAAGTTTATATTTTCATTAAACTTGTATAATAAAATGGTAGCCCATTTTTGTTTGTAATCTTTTAATTATGAGTGGCAGTGAATATTTTTACTAAATAGTAGCAGGGTGGACAATAACTTAACTAGTTTTGATATTTGTCAATAAAGAATATAAGATGATAACTCTATATAATTCACTTAAGGATAATTTTCACATTGTTTCCAGATTACATTCATTTAGTCAAACTTGAACCATAGAATTTCATAGATTATGTGTCTCTGGAACTTCAAAGACCATCATGGAACAGAAAACCTAATAACAGGCATACCTAGTTGGGCTTCTCTATAACTTGGAGTAATCTCTCTTTATTAGATCTTTAAATCATACAGAAATATTTGAAAACTAGATCTGGAAATTTTGTTTTATAATTTAGGCAGAAATTTTTAAAGTAATGAATAAACACAGTCACCAGGATCTGCATTCAATCCCCAGAAAGCTAGGTGCAGTAGCAAACATTATAATCCCAGGGTGGGGCAGCATAGACAGATATTTGGGATTGCTGGCCTTGTAACCAAATTGTCAAACCAAAAAGAAACCCTGTGTCAAAAAGCGAAGTGGAGGACTCCTGGGGGATGCCACCCAAGGCTGTTCTCTGACCTCCAAATGCACATACATGCACACGCAGACATGGATGAGATTTATAAAAGTCATGACAAGGAAGAAATAAATATCACTACACTTTGGATGTCATAACATATAACAAAAATGTTGTCTATGGTACATACCATTCCAAAATAGTATTTAACAGTTCAAAACTTAGTCAACTTTTCCTTACAAAATTTAAGACTGCTTTAAAACTATTCTCCCCGACATTCCTAAATAGATCAAAGTAATTATTAGATTGTATTTAATTAAAACTTTAGTAATGTATCGATCTGAAATTAATGCTTTACCTTATAAACCACTTGTCATCTGCCATACATAATTTGTTAAATTATTAAAACTCACAATAGGCCTCACAAAATCATATCTTATGAAGAAGAGGGTTTGGAAGCATAACAATTTTGGGAAATGCTGACTAAGTTCGCCTTCCTTTTTTCCCTGATAGGGAGAATGTTGAGTGCTTGGTTTGGATAAGCACACAGGTGGTTGCAGGTTAAGACTACTTCCATTCGTATTTTTTCCTCAATCAAAATGACTGATATATTTCCTTCCATGTGTTATTGTCATTGGGTTCAGTGAAAACCAAACCAAACTAGTTGAGCAACTTCACGAGTTTGAAAATCAAATGGCTAATTGAATAGTTTAAATCCCAGTCACCTAAATCCTGTCCAATCCTCCAGAATGTCATAGCTACAGCTGCGAGCATAGAACATTCCAGAGCCCCACGTCGGCATACCCCAACAAAAGAGTACTGCTTTAGGAAAGCTTTGCAGTGAGTGATTCAGACCCTTCAGTGTTTAGGAGAGAGAATTTGTATCTGTTCCTGGAGGCTGCCAACCTCCCCTACTCTACCCACAGTTACTCTGTGTATGGAATCTTTGCTGCTGTTATCTGTGACGATGTCTAATGTCACCTAGACTGCCAAAGCCTCACTATGACGTTGGGCGGCGGGCATGCAGAACCTCTTATTCTGTTATTTGACTGTAAGTTCTGACCCCTGTCCATGCCATTGCTTCCCCGAGTTTCATACCATCAGCATCCTAGTATTCCTACTATGTGCACGAGTTCCCACTGCGTGCTGCACAGCTTTCCCACTTGGGAGTGACAGCAACCACAAAACCTGGTTCAGGGAACATGCTCCAATTTCATAAGAGTACCAAGATCATTCCAGTGTCCCTCCTACCAAAGGGTATTTTCGTACCTTGTGCTTGGCATTTTCCTCAATTTTGCAGGATTTGAATGCACCGTGCCCAAATGTTTTGCTTATGTTTTCATAGCTTTGAGCTCGAGGTGGCTGCAGAATAGCAGGTCTTAAAATATTCTCAGGTCTCACAGGACCTTGAAAGAGCAGAATGAAAAGATCAATACATTTTGGTAAATTATCCTTTATCCCTATTTTAATATAATGCTTTTTAAAAATACCGTAATTAAGTTTTTAAAGATTAGTCAAAGTAGATGTAGCCCATGTATTATTGGCTGTCACTCCGTTCTTGCCTAGCTTTTGTCAAATAAGTGTTTCTTTTGATTACATGACTTGTCTAATCAAATATTTTTATCCTCCATGTTTTGTCACTCTGTCCTATACCCAACACATACACACACACACACACACACACACACACACACAGAGACGGAGAGAGAGAGAGAGAGAGAGAGAGAGAGAGAGAGAGAGAGAGAGAGAGAGAGAGAGAGAGAGAGGTGGAAGGAGAGAGATTAAAATATACATGGTAAACGAAGCTTATGAACTGCAGCCAATAGAGTCGTGAGTCTGCCTACTTATCTAAATTATTTAGAGAAGCTTAACGTTTTGTTTATTTCTTTCTAGCTCTTTTCTAAGCATGCCTCCCTTGACACTTCAGGCTTACACCAATAGTCTGAGCTTCCTTACTCTTTCTACAAAGCTTCCCTCCTTGCCACGTGACTACTCATCCACCATGTGTCTGACCTGCCTGCCAACCTCAATGAAATGGCTGTGCCAACCTCAATGAAATGACTGTGCCAACCTCAATGACATGGCTATGCCAACCTCAATGATTGTGCCAACCTCAGTAGCATGACTTTTATCCCTTCTATTCGTCAGCTGCTGGGGTTCTAAAGCTAGCCTGCCCAATGTTTTTCTTCTAAACTCTAACACAATTTCCCTTGTGCCTCAAATGCATTAGATAGATAGATGGACAGACAGACAGACAAACAGTAGACTGAAAGAGGTACAATTTCTGGGATTCTTGAAACTGAAAAGTCATACCTTGCTCTACGCTGTTCATGTCAATATTCCTTTGCACCCGACTTAATGTCATAAAAACATTGTTTTTCCTCACTATAAGAAAAAATACATTAAAAAAAACTTTAAAGTTCATGAAATATTTTACATTTTTGTAGAAAAGGCCTCCTCAGAGATCGCCAGTAGATGTCGCTATAGCACTAATACTGTTAGAAAGTAGTGCTCATGGGAGGGCTGGTCCTGTTAAAAATAAGATTGCCAGGTGAGTTTTGCTACCTACTTCTGTTCAATTCTCAAAAATCTAAGATTAGGTCTTTTATAGAAGAGGTAATCTTATTTACAATCATTAAATAGGTTAGTGCCATAAGAAATTTTGCAAATCACAAACACTGAAGTGATAATGAATCCTGTGTGCATATGTATACCTCTCACAGAATGCTCTAACACTATCAACAAAGTCTTTACATTCTCTTTTAGTGACACTTAGGAGAGAACTAAAGATGTCAACTGTGCTGATTAAGTTTGTTTTGTTTACGTGTTTTGTCAACTTGACACAAGCAAGAACCACTTCAGAAGAGTGTCAACTAAAACAATGCCTAATTAAGATAGGCCTTTAGATAAGTGTGTGGGGACATTTTTGACTAATGATTGAGGTAGGAGGGTCCAGCACACTATGGGCAGTGCCACCCCTGAGCAAGTGGTCCTGGGCTGTTGAAAAAGCAAGCTGGACACGGAGAGTAAGCCAGGAAGCAGCTTCCTCCATGGTCTGTGCTTGAGTTCCTGCCTCCCGGTTCCTGCCCTGACTTCCCTTCATGACTAGGTGAATAAATCCTGCCGTCTCCTAAGCTGCTGCTTCTCGGTGTTTTGTCACAGTAACAGGAAGCAAGCTACAGCAACAATGATGCCAGATTGTTTTCCTCTAGGTGTGCTGATGGGTACAATGGATGGGGCTGTAAGCATAGGATTTCTACACTTTGCAAAGGGAGGGTATTGCCTTGGTATTGCAGTGGCCAGTGTCTGACTACTGGAGATGACAAGCGAATAGAAACACTTCTTTAAGGTGTTCTTCAGGGCATGTCATCTTAGGACTGTTGTAATGGAATTGCTGTCCCAACCAAGCTGGACTTGGTAGTCTTTGATATCTTTATTACTTGAAACAGAACAACAAATAAACCAAATAAATTGTACCATTTTTCTCATTTCCAGCACCATTTATGATTCTGCGTAGTATAAAGTAGAAATGCTGCTTACTGATTAATGTCCTCGGAATTGTTCATCCTTTGTGTATCTGATGTTTTAAATGAAGTAGTTATATAGATAAACTAAAGCTGTCCCTTTGCTTTACACAAAAACATAACAAAGCAGAAGGCTTTGCCTCTGGGATTGGCCACCTCCCCATTTCTCTTGTACAGCTTGCCATTTGGGTTCAGAGAGTCTATTGTCTCTTCTGTGACTAAAAGTGTCTGATACACTGTTGCTCAGTCATGATTGTAATTACTGTTACTAATTTCCATTGCTTGGTTTGAAAACTGCAGTTTTTGGTTAGAGGACAATCAAAAAGAAATAAAAAGGACAGATAGATAGATAACAGAATTTCATAGTGATAAACACTAGAAAATGCAGTTGGTTGTTTAGTACAAATAAAAATTGTCAGGGATATAAGTCATTGTTTAGTGTGAAGGTAGTGCCAACCTTTTCGTTGTGATAAACATTTAATTACAAAATCATTTTACTTGGCAAAGCATTATCTTAATTAGTGAAATCTCTAACAGAGTCATATCCAAGTATAGAATATTACTTGAAAGCAAGGTTATGTTCTGAGTACTATATAAGCTATATGTGTAGACAATACTGAATAAAACAAAGCAAGCTATTTTTATTTTGTAAATCTACCTTCCATAAAGTACAGCTTATGGCACAAAGGCTATAAGACCTATTATGAAGAGAATTCCTGAAGTCCTTGCTACAAAAACAAGGCAAACTGAATTCCCAGCTGACTGAGCATACAGTGCAGATCAGAATTCTTTAAATGTAGACATCTACATTTCATATATGAAGTCCTAAAACATTCCAAGCTCAAACTTTTTGCAAAAAATAAAGGACGCAGCCGGGCGTTGGTGGCGCACGCCTTTAATCCCAGCACTCGGGAGGCAGAGGCAGGCGGATCTCTGTGAGTTCGAGGCCAGCCTGGTCTACAAAGTGAGTTCCAGGACAGCCTCCAAAACCACAGAGAAACCCTGTCTCGAAAAAAACCAAAAAAAAAAAAAAAAAAAAGACGCACTGACTGCCTGAATTGGTGGGTTAGTGTTCTGTTGATAGCCCTCTTGCACATGTGGCTACGACTTTTGTCTGATTTGTTGCTCAAGCTATTACATCTTATGCTGTCTGAGAAAGAAAACACATCATTGATAAGAAAGATTTCGAAACATCAAAGTGTCAGGGTTGAGGTTCTATGAGTCTGTCATTACCTGGCCAGGAGGGGGGGAAGGTTGGGACATCAGTGAATGATGAAGACCTCAGGCGTGTCGGAGACAAAGCTGCCACTAAAAGCAGATCACAAATGCAGGTCATTAAGAAGTGTGTCTTCTGTCTAGTTTGAGTAAGATTCTGTTGTTTGGAAAAAATTTACATCTCCAATTCAGTTGAAACAAAGATTGCCTCTGGTGATAATAAACTTTATGTCCAGTCAACTTAGTAAATATTTCTTGATTGCATACAATGTATTAGACATTCTTTCAGGCACATACACACACACACACACACACACACACACACACGCAAAGATGCTACTTGTGAACTTATACTGGTGTAGATATTTGTACATAAATTGCTGCTTTACAAAGCCTGAGGGCAGTAAAATCCATTAGGCACAGCAGCACTTGGGTATGTTGATGTGCACGTGGGAAAATTACATTCTCAGTTCACTTAGAGTACAGCGTATGATAACGCTCTTAAGGCGCTGGCATGTTTTTATTCTGGAGGTGCTTACTTTTCAATGGCCAGTTGGAATGTTTTTAAGTAGTTTCACATGCAGAGTAATAGTCAAAACTATACCTACCTCCTGAAGACTGAGAATCTGTAGTATGAAGCGTGACGGATGAAGACCTTACACGCTTCCTTGAGAAACCACTGAATTCTGAAAGAAATGTAACAGAAGCAGTAATATTGTGCTTACAATAACACACAGTATGGAACTATAACCGACCCTTTTGTGTCTGTAGGTCATCATTTCACATGCTGACTCATGGAATCCCACTTTAAATGTTAGGGGTGTTAAGGTGATTATAAGCCTACAGATTGTAAGCCTACATATTAGCATGGAACAGTTGGAAATGAGTCTGTGGCAGGGAACTGTATACACATACTGAAGCTCTGCTCAGGACCACAGAGGCCTTTGCTCCCGCCACTGTTCACAGGTGTCTGCCTGTCGTCTCTCAAACCAGAGGCCAATCCATGTACGCACTTAAAAACAAGGAAACCATTACGACGTTTTACAGAGTCGGTGCCACAAGGCCAAATGCTGGGCTTTATTTATTTTCTTTGCATAAAGATTGGGTTTTGGGGGGCTTTCCAGCACAGAATGTAATTCGTTACCACGTTCTGCGGTCTCGTCCAGGCTGTCTTCTGCAGGTCTCTGAAAAGACACAAAACTGCCAGTGAAAGCTGAGCCTCTGCTGTTACTCCGTCACTTTCCCACCCTGCCTCCATACAAGAGGACTTCAGGAGCCAGGACTCTGCCCCTCACAAGGACAGAGGGACACACCAAAGTTTTCACCAAGAACATGTCAACAGAGAAGTCTAGCCCAGTGGTTATAGATTTCAACGACTATAGAGTCATTTCTGAAAACCTGTTTAAAATGTAACTTTCTGAGGCACCTGCTCTCAGCATTCTGAAGTGGTTGATCTGGAGTAAGAATTTGCTTTTTGTACAAAGGAGTAAAGTTAGTTTATTTTGTAAACAATTCATTAATGGCTGTATATAAGAATGAATTCACACAGCCACAATAATACAATTGGTGGGTATAGTTGATCCTCCAACTCCTGTGGTTCCAGGATGATGCTTCAACATCAGGTAGACTCTATAAGCCCTTTCAAACTAATACTGTTTGCTGGAGATTTTTATACCCAGTTTTAGGCTCTTTCAGTATTGAGGACCTAGGAAACCCTCAAACTTCCTAATCTTTTTCTGTTTGTTTGTTTGTTTGTTGGTTGGTTGGTTGGTTGTTGCTGTTGGTTGGTTGGTTGGATTTTTTTTTTTGTTGTTTGTTTTTTTTTTAAGACACCTTTTTTAAGTCACTCCAAGTAAGCATATTATTTTAGGTAAACCACTTTACCTAAACTTAGAGATTTCAACCAAACAGATATCTGTGAGTCCCAACTACATGAACATTCAGCTAGTGGAGAAGGACAAAATAATATCACGCAGCTACTATATCTTAGTATAGCTACCTCCTTAAAGTATTATTTATCAAAACCAAAATAATTTGATCTTACCTTGAAAGTGTGTTCTCCTTTCTCAAAAACAAATACTGGTTGAGCAATGACACATTTTTCTGCAAAAGAAAGGAATGTTCAAGAACTCACAGCACACTGACAACTCTGGAAGATGTTTTGCATATTCCTTGCTGTGGTGTTTTGAAGGATAATAGCCCCAATAGACTCTTATATTTAATATTTGGTCCCCAGTTGGTGGAAATGTTTGGGAAGGATTAGGAGGTATGGCCTTGTTAGAGGAGGTGTGTCATAGGGAGTAGGGTTTGCGGTTTCAAAAGCCTATGCCATCCCACTGTCTTTCTCTGCCTGCTGCCTGATCAGGATGTGAGCTCTCAGCTACTGCTCCAGTATGATGCTTGCCTCCCTGCCACCATGCTCCCCACCATGACAAGCATATACTAACCCTCAGAAACTGTAAGCAAGTCCCCAACTAAATCCTGTCCTTTATAAGTGGCCTTAGTCATAGTATCTCTTCACAGCAGTAGTAACCCCACTGAAACCAGCAGGCTTTGAGGTTTCAAGAGAATGGTGCCATTCCTAGCGCCCTCTCTCTCCCCCTCCCTCTTCCTCTCTTTCCCTCCCTCCCTCCCTCCCTCCCTCCCTCCCTCTCTCCCTCCATCCATGTCTCTCTCTGCCTTGTGGTTATGAATCAAGATGTAAGCACTCAGATGCTTTTCTGCTCTACCATCAATGACTCTAACCTGAAGCCATCAGCCAAATCATATGCCTTCTTTTATAAGTTGCCTTAGTCATGGTGTTTTATCATAGTAACAGAAAAGTACCTACGACATTTATCTTTGGGTAAAGTATAAACTATTTCCAATGGATACAGGTGATAAAAGACATAATACTCAGGGAAAGTGATGCTAGTATGTATGTAAGGAGAATGATAATCTCTTTAAAGGAACATGCTCAGGTTGTAGGTTAAACTCCATGTGGAGGAAAACAACAACAACAAAACCATGCTGTAAGAGTTTAACCGGCGGTGGTGGCGCATGCCTTTAATCCCAGCACTTGGGAGGCAGAGGCAGGCAGATCTCTGTGAGTTCAAGACCAGCCTGGTCTACAAGAGCTAGTTCAGGGATAGCCTCCAAAGCCACAGAAAAATCCTGTCTCGAAAAACAAAAAACAAAACAAAACAAAAAAAGTTTAAAGAAAATAAACAGAATTGCCTGCTTTTATAATCTCATCAGGACAGTGCTTAAGAAATCTTTAAGAAGAAAAATTTCAATGAGTAAGAAATCTCATCAGAGAACAGTTCTATTTGCATTGTACCTTAAGGTACAAGTGGCTAGGCACAGTGATGCATGCCTATTTTTCAGCTCTTAGCTGGTAGAGACAAGAGACTTACAAAGTCATTATCAGTATATTGTCTTGGCACACACTTAGAATGCACCAGTGCACAAATTGTATCTCTCAGCCTAATGAAGCTCCATCGGAGGAATTTGGAGACTGGAGAGGATATCTCAAAACAAATCACCCAGCCAACATGCAGAGGAGGCAGACATGCACTTCATTCCATCCATGAGATAATCTCTCAGAATCATACTCTCTTCACTGGAGTTGCCATATAACAAACCACATTTTCAATATTTAGGTTGAAAGTTAGTCTTACATAATATTATGAAGCACATAAAACCCTGTCAACTTTATTCATCTTGCCTCTATTCTTCTCTTCTCCCTCCCTGCCAGCTTTCCTTCCTTCTTTCCTTCCTTCCTTCCTTCCTTCTTTCCTTCCTTCCTTCCTTCCTTCCTTCCTTCCTTCCTTCCTTCCTTCCTTCTTTCTTTTATCAGTGTTTGCAACTAAATCCAAGGTCTTGTGCTACACCATTTGGAAATCAGAACACACAGCAATTAAGAGTTTCAAGCATTTGTTGGGTGGTGTGGGGCCAGAGAGTCAAGGAAAACTGAAGCAAAATAATAGCAGCAAGATTTTGGAAGCTGGGAAACAGAAAGATAGGTGGTACCTAATTTAGCAGACCAGGAAGGCTGAACTGAAAGCAGTGGGGGTATGGAAACCAACCTAGAGCAGCATACCCCCAGGAACATCACAATTCAAATACTGATAGAACTAAGAACTTCAAAAAGAAGAGATTACATTGGGCTCAAGACAGGGAGATCTTGTGTGTATTGGCAGCAAAGTAACTCAGTTGTCTTACTCCTTGCCTATCACAAGTCCAAGATCTTTACCTTTTCCCAGGACATCCAACCTAATCCTATGGCAAGAGTTGAGCTCAGTGTTGTGTGTTTATGCGCTGGCCCTGCTTTTTAGGGTCTTCAAGTGCTGTGGCAGTTGTTCACAACAAATAGACAACTTTTCTTTATTTTAATACATACCACAATTTGCCTATTGTAAAATCTTAGGGTGACTCATAAGTTTTTGCCTCAACTTTCTATTTCCATCTATTTAGTTGACACCCAATCTGTTGAATATACCTATCTCCACTAGGAACGTAGCTGGAGATTTTGTTGATGAGTCATCTTAGAGGAAGGGATTTGAAAGGATCCACTGAACCAAAAGAAGGGTCTTGAAGATAGAGAAAGAGACCAAGAGTGAAGTAGCTTTAGCCTGAGTCTGAAAGCCTACAGACCCTCAGGTTTCTGCTGCTTGGTTCCCCACCTGGAAACAGCATTCTTCTCGTTACAGCCTAGTAGTTGAGGGGATGTAGAAACCGACTTTATGTACTGGCCAGAACCAATCTACCCTGGCCAGAGCTGGAAAACCATGTCCACACAAGCCTTGCAGGAAAGAGGGTGACAGCAACCTCTCTGAGAGGGCCAGCCCTGCCAACTGGGTCACTTCTAATTGCCACCAGAACTGGAATTCTCCCCTTGAACTTCATCCTGGTGGGCTCTGTATGCTCCTCTCCCCCACTTTCTGGATCTTCCATGTGTCTGTGCTACATTTTCTTCTCTAATTTTTCCCCCTTGGACATTCACTGTTCCCTAATACTTTCTTTTGTGCCACCGTCAAAGCTTGAAGATAGTCTTGTTTTTTGTTTATTAGAATTCTCTCTCTCTCTCCATCTATCTCAGAGACTTACCTTTAACTACCAATCCTCCTACCTCTGAGGGCTAAGATAGCAGGCATATACCACCACCTGGCTTGTGTTAGTGTTCGTGTGTGTGTGTGTGTGTGTGTGTGTGTGTGTAAATATTGTTATGAGGATTGAAGAAAGTTCTGTGTGCAGGGTCAGCTTCTTCAACCCCTTTTTTGCAACAAAGTAGACTAATCCCAGGACTTGGGAAGCAGAGGCAGGTGAATCTCTATGAGTTCTAAGACACCCTAGTCTACAGAGCTAGTTCCAGGACAGCTAGGGTTGTTACACAGAGAAACCCTGTCTTGAAAACAAAAATAAAACCATTGGATTCCTTTCCCCCTCCTCTGGGTCCTAAGCTGTCAGTGATGGACATGCTATGGTGGAAGTTGGTCACTTGTCATCAAAATGGTGTTTTCTTTTCACTCACTTCCTTATTCCTGCCCTGAGTTTCCTTCTACCTTCTCCCCCACTGCCCCTCTTTTAAGACAGTTTTATATCAGTATGGTCCTGTATTCAAGCTGTGACCAGCTTGCTCCTCAAAATGTAGTCCTTGGGCTGGTAGGCTCAGTGGGTAAATCGCTTGCAGCTGAAAGGTCAGAGTTTGGATCCTGAGGACTCACTGAAAGCTGGTAGTCCCAGGGCTCCTTTGACAAGACAGGAAACAGACAAGATAACCTTTGAAAGTTTGTGGGCCTGCTAACATGATGTTTGAAGCAGTGAACCACAAAGACCCTGGTGGTAGACAAGGACCAACACCTGGACTTGTTCCCTGACCTCTGTGTGCACATACATGTGTATATATACTCTACAGAAGCATCACACACACACACACACACACACACACACACACACACACACACACACACACACACACACACACACACACACAGTGTAGTTGAGATAAACCAGCAACATTGATAGAGTTTGTTAGAGATTTGGACTGAATTAAAACCTATATTCTACACCCTTTCTTGGTGAGTTACTCATTCAAGAAATCTTGAAGAACACTGGGTTTCTGCCAACCAAGGTCAAATTCATAAAGATAGTGGTAGAGACTCTTGAAGTCAGTGAGTAACTGTGGGATATGCTGAGAATGTTTGCAATTAGTGAGGAAATGATACCATTCAAACAATATACAATGATTGATTGTGATTTGGTGTGAATGCATGGGCCATTCTAATCAATTTAAAAGAAATCTCTATATTACAGATATTGGAATATCACTATTGATATTGAAACCAGTCATTCAGATTTGGATGATTTCCTTTGAGATGTAGAACTCTGTTTGCTGTTTGAAAAATATGTCAGGGATCTGCCCATTTTTCATTAAAAAAACTTAGATGCCATTGCATGAGACTATTAAACATTAATTAAAATGTACATTTCTATAAAATTAGCCTGGAAGCATGCATGTCACAAAAGCATTTGCCACAGTTCTGAGTCTTCAAAAGGAGTTTGAATCATTTGAAGTCTCAAGTGTGAAAAATGGTCACATCTTCAGGAAAAATAGACAATTATAGCAAGTGACATCAATTACTGTATGGCCCATAGTTGGGTGTTTGTTTATTTAAAGAAACAACAAAATAAACAAAGACCAGAGCATTATTAAAATCTCCTGAGGATGTTCTGAGAAGGACAAAACATAGCTAACTTGGTGCCAACTCACATATAACGTTCTGTAATATCTCTAGTCACACAAGGGAAGGGGGGACTTTGTGAAATGCACACAGATTAAATAAGCAGAAAATTGCCTGGGGTAATATTTAAGAACATGTGTCTGTAGATGAAGATGGTGGTACCACAGTATCTTACGTCACTATTTACTATGACTGCATTCTCATGAAGATGGTGGGGCACAGTGTTTCATGTCATTGTTTACTGTGACAGTACATTCTAATTTCTGCTTTATGAGATGCTTTTCTTTGTCATGAAAGCTGAAAACAGGACCCCAGGTGAATCAGGCAGTCTGCATAGCAGGTTTTCAGCCTGACTCAAAGCACTCATAGGCCCCCTTACAG